TTTAAATTTGCATTTTAATTATTAAAACATACATAAAAAAATGAAGCTTCTTAGATGATGACTTTAAATATACCTCTGATTTACATATTTTTCAAAAAGCTGTTTTCTCATTTGGGTACATCCAGTGTTTAACAGGTGTGTCCACAAGAGAATGGCGTGTTCATATCAATATTAATCCCTTTGAAATTCTAGGAAATGTGTGTGAAATGCTCAGTTACACTTAACTATACAGTGGTGCTAAAAATTCTGACAGCAGCTTCCAAATCTTCTTCTCTTTTTTTTTTTATTTTGAGACAGAGTCTCACTCTGTTGCCCAGGCTGGAGCGCAGTGATGAGATCTCGGTTTACTGCAACCTCCACCCCCACGGGTTCTAGCCATTCTCATGTCTCAGCCTCCTGAGTAGTTGGGATTGAGTAGTTGGGATTACTATAGATTTTATGTAATGAAGTTTATCTTATAAATAATAAATTTTATTTTGTGCTGATTCTTAAACAGTATCAAAAGAAGTTCCAGGCTGGGATTCATTATTATTATGAATTTCTTGTTCGTTCTTCTGCAGATATCAAGATTTACATTTATCATACTTAAAAGTATTGAAAATTCATCCAGATTTTTGTTGTCTCATTCTAGGTGGATGTTTCTGATATTCCATAATAAAATTTTAAATATATAAATATAAAACACTGCATACCTATTTTCTGAAGAATTAATGTATGTGCTTACGATAGAAGTATTTTATTATTTTTTGAGACAGGGTCTCACTCTGTCGTCACCCAGGCTGAAGTGCAGTGGCAAGATCTCAGCTCACTGCAGCCTCGACCTCCCAGACTCAAGGGATCTTCCCACCTCAGCCTCTCCAGTAGCTGGGACTACAGGCATGCACCACCATGCCTGGCTAATTTTTTTTGTATTTTTTTGTAGAGACAGGGTTTTGCCATGTTGCCCAGGCTGGTCTTGAACTCCTGGGCTCAAGTGATCCTCTTACCTCAGTCTCCCAAAGTGTGGGATTACTGGTGTGAGCCACTGCACCCAGTCCAATAAAAGTATTTTAAACTAGTGACTCTCCTAAAGCAGTTAGTGTTTTAACACATGTAACTCGGCTGCAGTCCCTGCAGTGACACAGGCCAGATTGTGTCATAATGTGGAAACAATAGGAGGCCTATTGTCAATGGTAATGACATCCTACAACTATTAACACAAACCAATGAGTTTATATTAAAATTTCTATTAATTGTAACATTTATTGTAATTACCATGATACTATTTACCCTCGAAATATTTCAACATTGTAACCATCAATATGGTGCAGGGTACATAATGGCTAAATATCGAATCTAGTCTATATGCCGAACTTAGTCCAGGGGCTGCCAGTTTTAGCTTCACGCCAAAACTCCAGAAGAGATCATCAGTGGGTCCTGGAAGTGAAGATGGGTTGCATTTCAGACTCTGAATAAACAGTCAATGTCTTCTTTTTCCCCTTTTGGGTGGGGGATGGATATCAAGGGATGTCACACCTAGACCACTTCACTGAAGTTACCAGCCTGTTTCCACTAGTCCTTTGATTTTTCCACCAGTGGGTTTGTATTCCAAAAAAGAGTTCCTGTCCTGTCCAACTTTCTGAGCCAAGGATTTATAAAACCTGGTTATCTGCTAGAAATGGGAGAGAATGGAAAAATCCAAATAGTTGACACCTAAATTAAAAGCAAAAAAGCATCTTGCCACATACGTACCTCCAACTCTACCTGTCCTAGTCAAGGTTTAGCTCCATGAAACCTTGCCTGATCCCACAAGGCATGCCCACCTTCTCCCCGCTAAACGCTCACAGCATGAAGTCTATTTCTCTTAGATGACATGATACCTACTGACTACAGATGCCTGAAAGTAAATTCCAACCCCCAGCCCCAGCATCCCTTGACCTACCCCTTATCCCCCTTTCCCACTCATCTTGGGCAATCACACCGCCATGCCTTGTCCACAACAGTCTCCTCAACCTGGAACACCCTTTTCCCTCATTCCTTCTCGCCAGAATCCATCAAGGCTCGGCACAAAGGTACTCTCCCAGGAGGCCTTCCTGAATTCTTCCGTGAGGCAGACTGCTTCCCGAGGTGCCCCGGCCCTTCTCGGGCCAAGTCTCTCCAGAAACTCATCCCATTGTTCTCAGATGGAAGGGATCCCACACCCACGACAGGCCTCCGGGTTTGCTTAATGACTCAACCAGCGAGGGTGCTCGGTAAGCCCCACCAGCACGCGCCCTACTCAGCAGGTAATGATTGAGACCTACGAGGCGACGGGCGCCGCGGTCGACGCTGGGACAAGGTCCCTGCTCCAGGTAGCTTACGTTCTATTCACTAACGTCAAAGAGCAGTGAGTGCTGTTACGCGTATGGGAGCCACCAGGGTCTCCGCCTGCCCTCAGGGCCACGGGCGCACTCGACGATTCGCGCCTGCCTCAGTTTCTTCGTGGGACCGCACCGTCCCCGTCTCCAGAGAGGTGACACACTCTCACCACGCGCTCTCGCGTTACCAAGTCTGCGAAGCCGCACACCGCCAGTCCCGGCGTCCCCCGCGCGCCACGCTCCTTTCCAACAGGCCCCAGGAGCCCCGCTGCATGCCGGGGCTTGTGGTCTCGGCGTAAGCGGCGCGGCGCGGCGAGGCGCTGCGGCCGGCGGACGCGCGTGGCAGGAAGCGGAAGCGACCCGAGGCCCTGCCCCGGCCCCGACCCCGGCCCCGCCCCGCGCCTCGCCGTGCTGCTCGCCGCCGGGCTAGAACTGACGTGTCTCTCGGCGGAGGTGCTGTGCGGTGGAACAGACTGGGCCGCGGGCAGCGTCGCGTCGCGCGGAGCAGAGCTGAGCCGAAGCGGGACCCGGAGCCTGAGCAGCCGCCGCCATGGCAAGTGAGTACTGCAGGGGCAGCTCTACCGAGGCCGGGACGGATCAGATTCCCCTTCCCCTCACCCGTGCGGTCGAGAGCTCGCCGGCCAGCCCTGCCTGGCCCCCTGCAGAACGCGGCCGGTGTCCCCGACCCTTCTCGCGTATCCCCACGAGTCCCGGGTGCGGCCGGCTCCCCTGGCCACTGTTCTCACTCGTCCTGGGCAGAAGGCTTCCCTGGGTAGCGCGGACGGTTACTTCTCTGTGTTCTAACTCTTCCTGTTTTGTTTCTCCCATCAAAGTCAAATTTCTGGAAGTCATCAAACCCTTCTGTGTCATCCTGCCGGAAATTCAGAAGCCGGAGAGGAAGGTAAGTACCCCAAATTGCCAACAAAGAAGATTTCAGGAAACTGTCTGGACTCTGAAAGTTTACAGTATGATTAAAAATGGCTTCAGCACGGCAATGGAAACTCTCCCTTCTCTTGTCTTGGAGTGTAGTCGTGCTCTGTTATTCCGGAGAGCTGTCGAAAGGTGACCTGGTTGTGTGGAAATTTCCACCGAAGTCATCGTGCTGTATTTGGAGCATCTTTGATGGAAGTTGCTTCGAGAACAAAGCCTCCGGTTGCCCTGTCCCAAAAATGGATCCGAGCCGTGAATGAATAAGGCCTCAGTTAGGATAGCAGATTGAGTTACCCTCCCTTTTTCACCTCCAACGGGAGCAGGTCATGGGTTGTTTTTTTTTTTTTTTCCAGGAGATGCCCTTTATATCCATCTGCTAAAGGGAAGGGCTGTCACTTTAGTATTTACAAATGAGTTTGTACCTTTTATGTAGGCTGTCACAATAGCGAGAATAAAGGCTATTCTTTTGTGAAGTCTGCTGCTTTTCACAGCCAGTGTATTAAAACAAGGAAAGATTAAATGTAGAACTGTGTTGAATCCGAAATTGTGTGGAGTGAGTGTTGCCAGTATAAGTGCAGCTATCAAATAACGAAAAAAAGTTTCGTTAGGTTCCTAGGTTAGAGAGTGGGGAATAAAATATTTGTGTCCTCAGATTATTTTTCAAACTGTTGTTAAAGCATTCACATGGACACTTGGGTTCTTGGAATCCACTTTCATTTTTTACTTAAAATAGTTTCATAGAAATGCCCATGTGCTTTTTTTAATGGACGAATTTGTAAAACTTTACCCCTCAATTCCAATGTAGTGGAGGGGTATGGCTCTGGAGGCAGGCAAGCCTAGGTCCCACTCTTTACATCGCTCCTTAGTAGCTATGTGACATTGGCCTTGTAACTCAGTGTGGTAGATGGAACCAGGGAAATATGCGCAAGGTATAGCAGTGGCTCAGGAAGGGATTAACTCTGGAAGACATGATGTCTTACGGTGGTTTTGAAGGACAAATAGAAGCCTCCTTGAAGGGATGGAAAGGAATTCCAAGTACAAGGAGTATATCGTTTGCAAAGGCATTGGTGACAAGAGTGTAGCATGTTTGGATGAGAGGTTGTTAGATGTAGTTCCTATTGATAGAACATAATGGAAGGTGGGGAACAATAGGAGATGAATAACAAGGGCCAGACATGAGAATGTCACTTTGGAAGGAAGGGAGAGGACTAGAGTTGGTTTAGAGGCTTTTCACATCAGAGGATGAACTGTAGTACCGAGCAAGAATGGATTTAGGGGCTACTAAGAGGCAGAGGAGACAGGACTTGGAAAAAGAGCTTTTGGGGTTTTGATGTTAAATTTGGTTGTAACCAGGAGAGGGGACTTGGTGATTAAAAAGTCTTGAAAAAATTGTCTGCTCTTTGTTTCCTGTCAAGATTCATTTCAGACAGGTTAGTCTGAAATGGCGTTGCCTTTTCTCGGCCATTTTCTAATTTCTTAGTGTGGTGGGATGGTAGGTGGGAAGAGGAGCATTCTCAAGAGAAGAAGAGTCCTGTGAATGCCCTCAGCTTTGGATGAAGTATCTGAACACTAATTCACACCACCCTTGTGTGGCTGTATGACTGTGTCCTACTTTGCCTGCATGTATAGTTAGAGGACTGTGACTCCTGTTCTGGCCAGAGGGCCGGGAATGCTGACTCAGTGCCTGCCTAGAAGTGTTTTTAAAGAACACAGTTTTGTTCACTTAATACTGTCAGTCTCTCACAAGGTATTTCAACCTCAGAATCTTCCGTCTGTACAATAATTCATATTTGTTAAGCCCTCTAAAGCCATTAGTCTAGTGTAGGCAGCAGACACTAGTGAAGACACTCAGTTTCAGAGGCAGAAAACCTGGAAGAGCTCCCGCTCTACTCTTTAGTGACAGAGGCTTTGGGTGGAAGGTCTAAACCTTTCTTATGATACGTAATAGTCATCTTTTCAGCGATTCTTGTCACCTGTGCAACCTTTGTACCTGAGAAGATGTGAAAATCCTTAACAGATGTTACTAATAGGTTAAACGTGCAATTCTCCTGCCCTTCCCCAATATTGTTTATTACACTGTTTTACCCTTAATTCATAGAAAATACACTATTGAGCAATTCCAAATTACTTGGCTCCAGAATAACAAGGTTTTGTGACTTACACTCAAATGAAAAGTGGTTGCTCGTGTGTTTTACAAGTCATGTTCTATTGTGACATTCTTCAGTCTTGAGTCTTAACTGTTAATGCTAATGGTTAAAAGCACAGTTTGGGACTCAAGCTCACTTTAGCATTGCGGTTTGGGACAAATTATTTAGTCTTCTAAGACTGAGTTGTAAAATAAAGATAACTCTCTGTGGTGTGAGGTGAGCTGGGGGGATGCCTGTAGGTCCTTGCATTGTGCTCTGTGCAGTGGAAGTTACGCAGTACAATGGTACTTATGTTTGGTACATGGTTCAGCTTCTCTGCTGAACAGAGGAAAGGGTCTGGTTGGAGTCCATTTTTAGAGAAAGGGGTCTGATTGGAGTCCATTTTTATTAATTTGCTTTTGAAAGTAACCCCTGCTTTAATTCATTCGCTTCTACTCTAGATTCAGTTTAAAGAGAAAGTGCTGTGGACCGCTATCACCCTCTTTATCTTCTTAGTGTGCTGCCAGGTAAGCTAAAGCTTGTATTTCGTATTGGGGAGGGGGATAAAAGTAGCTGGAAACAGGTGTGCTGACTGTTTTGCTCTTTGCCTATTCCCAGATTCCCTTGTTTGGGATCATGTCTTCAGATTCAGCTGACCCTTTCTATTGGATGAGAGTGATTCTAGCCTCTAACAGAGGTAGGACTCTGGCTCTCTCTGTCTTTTCTCTGTAGAGTGTGGGCTTACCTAGCTTTACTTAGTTAAATTATAGGCTTTGGCTTTATATGGAACTTAGAGAGTGACTTGGAAAATAGAGTGAAGAATGTTAGTGTGCTGTGTTGAGTAGCCTTATTAAATGCTGAGTTCAGCACCAAGGCATACCATCATATTTGGAATTGTATTTGAATGCAGTACAAAACCTGTATTGACAAGATAAGTCTATGCTACAGAGAGAATTAAAAACATGGAAAAACAACTAGAATACTTTTTGAATACCTGAAATGATGACATTTCCATTGATAACATTCTTCAGAATATGTAATTTGTTTTTCAGCTGTATCTTTTTCATATCTATAGGTTACATATATTGTCAAAAAATATGTAACAGTGTTTTGTATCCTCTAACCAGTTACCTATGGGACTGGGGAGGATTCTGAATGTGTATGTTGATACTGCATTTGATTAACTCATTTTAAAAACATAGTTGAATTAAATTCCAAATCAGTTGGAAGTATAGCTCATTTTAACATAATGGGAAGTAAGAAGGTTATTCACAACTAGATACAATTGTACAGGCTCCCTTTCCAGACTCTGGGAATTATTTGAATGTTATCCTTTTTTTATTAACTGATGAAGAGACAAACGTTTCTTATCTCTAAAACCAGAATGAATCTGTTTATGGTGAATTTAAATGCAGCAATCTGTTTAGACACCATGTGACTTCCTAAACAGAATAAGATGTTGCCTCGCAGGCTGAACAGAATGAATTGAATTATACACTAATCGTTGATATTTTGGGGTTCTCTAAATTAAATGCAGCTAGGAAACTGAAACACATTAGTTTCATATAAGGGGTACTCAGTCAAATTTTGCTCATTCATTTTTAAAATAATATACTATGTTTCCAAGCTAATATTGACTGTTTTGCTTCTCCGTTTCCTCAAGGCACATTGATGGAGCTGGGGATCTCTCCCATTGTCACGTCTGGCCTTATAATGCAACTCTTGGCTGGCGCCAAGATAATTGAAGTTGGTGACACCCCAAAAGACCGAGCTCTCTTCAACGGGGCCCAAAAGTGTAAGAAAGATTGTGAATAATCTGATGTCTATAGTTGGAGAATTTGTATTTGCTATAATGGCATCAAACAGGTTTTCTTTTCTTTTTTTTGAGGGGGGGCGGATGGAGTCTAACTCTCTTGCTCAGGCTGGAGTGCAGTGATGCAATCTTGGTTCACTGCAACCTCCACCTCCCACGTTCAAGCAATTCTCCTGCCTCAGCTTCCTGAGTAACTGGGATTACAGGTGCGTGCCACTACACCTGGCTAATTTTTGTGTTTTTAGTAAAGGTGGGGTTTCACTACATTGGCCATGCT